TTTTTTTTTTTTTTTTTTTTTTTTTTTTTTTTTTGAGGGAGTCACTCTGTTGCCCAAGCTGGAGCACAGTGGCATCATCATAGCTCACTGCAGCCTTGACCTCCTGGGCTCATGTGATCCTCCTGCCTCAGCCTCCCAAGTATCTGGAACTACAGGTACACGCCACCAAGCCTGGCTAATTTTTAAATATTTTTGTAGAGACAGATGTCTCTCACTATGTTGCCTAGGCTGGTCTTGAGCTCCGGGGCTCAAGTGATCCCCCTTTGGGTTCCCAAAATGTTAGATAACAGACGTGAACCATTGCACCCAGCCAAACCTTGGTCTGTTTATTCTTGATTTTATTTCCTTTCCTCAGTCTCTCAGATGCCCCTGCTCTCTTCCTACCTCCATATCCACATCCACTTTTAGCAAACTTTGACAAAGTCACACTGAGGTCTAAATAACTGATAAGACTTAATAGATAAAACTTTTCTCTCTCACAGATCTACACTAAATCCAATCACCTGTGATAAATCGCACATCTGAGTATTTCTAGCTGCATCAGCATCTGTTCATAATTTTATGAACAGGATTTCATAAAAATCTTCAGGATCATTCATGGTTTTGCTGATAATGCCATTTTTTTTTTATCCTCAGCCAGGACAGAAAAGAAATAATGGAAGAAATCCAAATCTCAGCAAAGATGATTGGGAAATGTGAATTGTTTTGTTTGGATGCTTTTTGGTATATTTTGGTATTTTGGTTTTTCCTTCCACTATTGCCATCTAAAAAAAAAAAAAAAAAAAAAAGCATACCACAAATAAGGCAGCCTCTTCTGTCAACCCATGGAGCTAGCCTTCATGGTGAAGTCAAAGGATGGATATTTAATGGATTCTTGCTAGCATGAGAACTTTTCTTTTTGAGATGGAGTTTCGCTCTTGTTGCCCAAGCTGGATGCAATGGCACGATCTTAGCTCACTGCAACCTCCACCTTCTGAGTTCAAGCGATTCTCCTGCCTCTGCCTCCCGAATAGCTGTGATCATAGGTGCACACCACCACGCTGGCTAATTTTTTTTATTTTTAGTAGAGACGGGGTTTCACAAAGTTGGCCAGGCTGGTCTTGAACTCCTGACCTGAGGTGATCCACCTGCCTGGGCCTCCCAAAGTGCTGGGATTATAGGCATGAGCCACCACGCCCAGTGGAGAATTTATTAGAATGGCTTTGTTTTAATTTCTGGCTGGGCTCGGTGGCTCATGCCTGTAATCCCAGCACTTTGGGAGACCGAGGAGGGGGTAGATCATGAGGTCAGGAGTTCGAGATCAGCCTGACCAACATGGAGAAACCCCGTTTCTACTAAAAATACAAAAATTAGCTGGGCGTGATGGTGCATGCCTGTAGTCCCAGCTAAGTGGAAGGCTGAGGCAAGAGAATCACTTGAACCTGGGAGGTGGAGGTTGCAGTGAGCTGAGATCATGCCACTGCACTCCAGTCTGGGTGACAGAGCACACTCCATCTCAAAAAAAAAAAAAAATTTCCTCTTGCATTCCCACACACTGGAACCATTCCTAGTATACAGTAGATGTTTAATAAATATTTATTGAATGAATAAACACATGATGCCTTACCATATCACCATGTTGTAAGACAGATGGGAAGATAAATAGGATGCACCGCCTGCTTTTTGAGAGCAGACACCACACACAAAATATGAAATAGCAATGTGAGAGACAGCCCATGGCCACACCCGAGGATCTTTATACCAAAGCCAGAAATATAAAAATCAAGGGGTTGCCTCTTGTAAGTTGAAAAAAGTGGTTTTGTATAACAAAAAGAAATTATTTTCTTTACAATGAGTAGTAAAGTTAAAAAAGGTAAGGAAATGTGGGACAGATTTTAAAATATGAGCAGATGCTGATGAATCTAGAAATACTCACAGATGTAAGATTTATCACAGGTTATTAGATTTATTATAGATCTGTGAGAGATCACACAACCATCCCAAACACTTGCAGCCCACACAATGGAGACCAATATCAGGTGCCAAGCAATTCCAGGTTTCTTATGTAATCATGATTGTACATACAGGACGAGGCTTAGCTGAACCAAGAGCGTGTATGCTAAACACCCTCGCTAACCATTGAGTGAAATCATTCCCTGGGAAAAGAGTGGTAAGAATCCATTATTTTATAGTAAATAGAATAAGAAAGACAGGAAAACATCAGACACACATGCATTAATTGTAAGCTCAAACACACAGAAGTTTCTTATTTTTGTGATTGGCAAACTGCATTTAAGACTTTGAAAAGTCAACAGTTCAGGATATTTGAAAATGAGTTTGAGGCTTTCTGCATTTAGAAATTCCTCTGTTTGACTTTGAGTCCTTGGTCTGAGAAAAGGTCATTTCTGGCAATAGGATAATGTTCAGGTGCTTCGCCGCCCTGGGACCTTGAAATGCAGAATTTATTTCTGGATTTGTGCAAATCTCCCTCAGTGCCGCCAGTTCTCCATTTGGAAATTACAATAATCAAATGTGGCAAAAATACTACTGAGAAATTAATACGAATTGCTAGTGGACCAACACTTTTCTCACCATCTGGCTGCGGTTTCAGATGGTTTCTGATTCAATGGGGAAAACTTTCTGTTCTCAAGTTACACAGAAGATGAAATGATTCCCAAACCCAGGAAACTGGTTGGTGCAAATGACCAGTCCCCAAAGCCTTTCAGAACTTTCTCCCTCTTTCCTTTTCTCTTTTTGTTCTCTCTCTGTGTGTCTGTCTTTCACTCTTTCCTTTTATTTGTCCTTTATCCCTATCAAAAATTCCTCTATATTCAGTTGTTAATAGTCATATAAAACACACACATATTCACAGACATTTGATACACTTGTGTTTAACTGTGATATACAAACATAATAAATCTACCTACATACACAAATTTATAAAATATTTTTATAGGTCTACAGGGCATATTGGACAAAATTAAATATCAACACAGATATAGAAATTATTAGTAAATATGATAGAAAAATGTTGATATAGTAAATTTTTGTGCCAAATATTTGAACAATCCTCTGAGTAATGCTCAGTGGATTCAGCAACATTTTTCCTGCTTTTGTGTCTTTTTACCAAGCTCGTAGTGATTCAGAAGGAGAAATGCAGCAAATGACAAAAACATAAACATTATAAAATTCATAGATACGACTTCTTCAGCAAAAACCCCCCGCATCTCACAGAATTGCTCATTTGGGCCATATTTTAAGGGTTATCGTAAATATATCCTGTGTATTACGTGTTGTAATTCTAACATTATCAACACCACAGTTTTGCCTCCTCTGCTTAAATAATTCTGCGATTGTAGTTTTAATTCAGTGTGACTTGGGCTTACCTGAGGAAGGGATGCCAAGGACGATGAGAACCAGCATAAAATCTGTGAGCATCGTGATGTCAGTTTCAGAAAGACAATTTCTTCCTTTTTAACAACAGAGCATTTCCATTGGAAAAAGGTGTTTTGAAAAGAAAATACAGGGGTTCAAAATCCAAAGTGGTACCCAAGAGGACAGCAACACCTGGAGTGGAATAAAACAGTCTCAACCCCTCTCGCCGAGTGTGCTGCTTCTCAAAGTGCACTTCATTGATTTGCAGTCAGCTGTCAGATCGTGTAAGTCTAAAACATATCTCTGGGTCCTAACTCCTGACTTATTAATTTGCTCCCTTGCAAGAGATGCAGGGCACTGGAGAAAGGATGAAGCTAGACAACTTCTGAGTGTTCTGCACTATTTTTTTTACAGTTGGGATCTGCGTACAGGAGAAGCGCACTTTACCATGTCCATCCTGGAAGTTAGTGAAAAGTTTCTCATCCCCATTATTTCTCTATTTTCTTTTCTTTTTCTTCTTCTACTTTTTTTTTTTCGGAGACAAAATCTTACTCTGTTACCCAGGCTGGAGTGCAGTGGCGTAATCTCGGCTCACTGCAACCTCCACTTCCTGGGTTCAAGCCGTTCTCCTGCCTCAGCCTCCCTAGTAGCTGGGATTACAGGCACCCACCACTGCGCCCGGCTAATTTTTGTATTTTTGGTAGAGACGGGGTTTCAACATGTTGGCCAGGCTGGTCTTGAACTCCTGACCTCAGGTAATCCATTCATCTTGACCTCCCAAAGTGCTAGGATTACAGCTTTGAGCCACTGCTCCCGGCCTCTTTTTCCTTCCTTCCTTCCTTCCTTCCTTCCTTCCTTCCTTCCTTCCTTCCTTCC